CTCCCAGGAATTAGCCTTGGCTTCTGCTACTGCTATGGCTGCCGTCTTGGGTACCTTGACATATCGCACGCGAATAGATGGTTCCTTGTTTCCAAGCCATTTCTTGAACAATGTTTTCATCTCTTTAACTGCCAGTTGTACCTCTCGTTCCACCATGAAGATGTTTTCTGACCTCCAGGCGGAAGGCCAACCAATTTATATCCGCAGCATTCGGCGGCAGCCTCGAGTATACCGCACTTAAAGACCTGCCACTGGATCAGGTCAGTGGTCACCGGGATCTGTTCAAACCGTCGTGCGAAGTTGTTTGCAAATTTCACTCTCGTGTCCACCGAAGATAATGTTTCCCATTTGATTCTCCGGTTGCTTCTGCCACCAGATCTTCGTATGGTACTCCACTTTTTACAGCGCAGCGTGTCAACAACAAGGTGATGATCGGTTGATAGCTCTGCGCCTCTCTTAATGCAAACATCCATTACTGAGTGTCATAAGTCAGACGATACGATTATCAAATCGATCATCGACTTCTGTGCACGAGCTTCCCGGTACCAGGTGTACTGATTCACTTTTCGATGATCGAGGAAGGTGTTCATAATGAACAATCCAGTGTTTGCGCAAAACCGCAACAATTTCATAGCGCTGTCGTTGAAGTCGTTTGGGCCGTTCTTTTTCAATCACGCCGCTCCACTTTTCGTCTACTCCGACACGGGCGTTAAAATCGCTAAGTATGAGGAGCTCTATATTCGGCATTTCGAATACAGCAGACTGCATTTCCTCAAGGAAGGCATCATATTCTCCCTCCAAATTGGGCGCATCGGCCTGTGCCAAGGACAACGCTGTAGCCTGTTGTAGCCTCAATCGGAGGATTACCACCCCTCCGCTGATAGGCTTCCAATCGATTATTCTATCGGCAAGGTTGGGTTCTACCAGGACGCCAAAACCGGCCTGAACGCGAGTCGTGATATCGACGCTTGAGTAGAACAGCTTCCATCCGATGAGATTCTGGAGTCCAGAGCCTTGGCGCTTCGTTGACGACTATCAAACAATGTCGAGTTGGTATTTTATGGCCTCAGTAACTAACTCTTCTTTGCCTCTGAATGAGGAAATTTTCCAATTTCCGACTTTAAGCTCCCACTGGTGGTGTCTTTCTCGTGGATCCTTTCCTGACGTGCTATAATGGCATCACGCTGTCTGCCTCCTCCGTTACTTCCTGGGAATGTAGCCATATCCTAATGATGCCACGACAGCATATGAAGAAATACAAATAGTACTAATGAACAACGGTGAACCGCTCCAATCATTAAAATGACGTGAGGCATTGATAACTGCAAGTCTAAAACATCATGAACCCATTGCATCCTTAAATGGTCGCCCAATATATCTAAAGCGATGAGGTTAAATTATGGAATCATGCGTTTATTTTTTTATTCAGGTTTTTTATTAATTATAATTCAGAACATAAAATAAACTAAATCGAATTAAAAGATCATCTGAAAGTAGCAGATATTCATTTTTCATGTTCTGGACGATATTATGATTTTTCGATTATGAATTTTTATAAAACGATGCTTAAAGCAAATCCGAGAGTGATTCGACGTACGGCGTATTTTGTTTAGAGTATAGCCCTCTGCTGAAAAAGAATTAATGTGGAGTATGAAATATGCGTCAAAAATATATTTCAAACAAAGGCTCTGAAATGGCATAAATGTCCTGCGATATTTATGAAAGTATAAATACATAAGAAATCTCTATAACATGGCATGGCACATGCGTGATTTAGCTACCATATCCGCAGTGTGACTGCCGGTTCTGATGTGCCGTAATTGTTACCGATCTATAGTCAATCAGCATGGTTAATAGCCAGCTGCAACATCAGTGATTTATGGCTACTGGTTGACATGCATCTCTCATCCTCGCCACTACATATCAAAAGGTACACACTAGATATACGACGAGCTGCAAAACTGATCATGATTACTACCAAGTTTCAATCCAAATAGAGTCTGTTTAAGGTTAGGTTCATGACGACGCTCCCGACTTTAATTATGGCATTAAACAGCGTCTGATTCGGTAAAGCGGAGTATTTCTAAGGCAGCAGTTTACAGGCAACAAGTGAGTGAAGTGACTTGATGAAACTTGGTGCGCACAGACTGATGGAAACAAAACAATCGCCAAAATTGAACAGCGCATTGTTCGAAGCTGGTCATATGAATGGAGGCTTGTCGATTCAATGGTAGTAACAAAACTTTCAGATTACAAGAAGCATCAAGTTTTTCGAATTTCCCGTTCAGCAAAGAGGTTTGATCGAATGAGAATGAGGCGTTGAAGGAAATACAACATCCGACTGGATATCAGCCAGTTGTCCTTTG